TGCTGCTGATCTGTTTCATGCTGCTGCTGATCTGTTTCATGCTGCTGCTGATCTGTTTCATGCTGCTGCTGATCTGTTCATGCTGCTGTTGATATGTTTCATGCTGCTGCTGATCTGTTTCATGCTGCTGCTGATCTGTTCATGCTGCTGTTGATATGTTTCATGCTGCTGCTGATCTGCTCATTCCTGCTCATCTGCTCACACAGACTCATGTTTGTGCTGCTGTTTGACGTACTGTTTTTGTGCTACTAGTGCTAGTTGATGTTTTTCTTTGTTCATATTTTAGATCTTATCACTGTTTTTCTTTTACATTTTTTACTCTTGTTGGATGTAACTGGGACCATGTGTACACAATTTTGTTCCACCACATGTGGTGCGTATGATAAATAAAGAACGTTGAATCCTTGAAGAGGTAAATAAACCAGGTTAATTAACTTGGTTTATTTACCTGGTTAACCAACATCACCTGAATGATGTACCTGCTCATGTGGATCTCAGGTGTTTTGACCTCTGCAGGTGTGGCGTTCAGTGGGTTGGCGTATCGTCGCCCTCTCTGCCTCCCTGTACACACTCCTCTACCTGTATGAGAGACTCACCTGGACCGACGCCAGCAGGGAACGCACACTGAAGCAGCAGTTTGTGGAGCACACTGCCCAACGCCTGAGGACCATCATCCCCATCACAGGCTCCGCCTGCAGCCAACAGGTGTTCAGGTAAGCTCCACCTCTTTGACAGCGTACCTGAAGGTGTTTTTGTTTGTGGATATGTTGTGCATTTTGGTGTTTTTGTTTATTTGTTTCTTTTTATATTCCTGGTTGTCTTGTCTGTGTTGTTTTTGTTTCTGTTTGTGTCTTTATTCTTCAGGGAGCTGTCGTCTACCTTCAGCCGGCTGACTCAGAGGATGGACCTGAGTGAAGCAGAACTGGAGGGAACCATTCGGCAGTTGAGCTTTAGGATTCAAAAACTGGAGAACATCCAGAAGAAGTCCAAGAACTTCAGGTGAGACTTATTTGTGTTCTCCTTCTGAGCCAGCATTTTCCCTCCAAATGAGTTGAATCATCACTACCAGGTGAAACTCAGAACAGGCTAAAATTCTGAACCAAGACCAGCTGCGGATTCAGATCAGAATCTGATTCTTGTGTTTCAGGAACCGAGCCATGGAGCTGGAGGCTCAGCTGGAGGTCTTTTCTGCTCAGTACCTGCAGGAAAACTGACAAACTAAGTAACTAGCTGGTTGACTGACTGACCGACTGAATCACTGACATGGCAACCAACCCTCTCATTCAGTAGCAGACTGACTAATTAACAATTGACAAACAACATAATTAATTAAATAACCAACTGACCAAATAACTTATTAACTTACTAAATGACAAACGAACCAGCCAACAAACTGAATGACCAACCAACTAACCAACCGATAAACTAACTGACTGATCAACAAACTAACTAAGTGCCGGACAGATCACCAAACTGATTAATTAACTAAATGACTAGCAAACTGAATGACCAACAAGCTTACTGACTAAACTACCAAATAACTAATTAACTGACAGACTGACCAACACACTGACTATCTGACCAACCAACCAACAAACTGATTGACTGACTGACTACAGCAAAAAAGGTTAAAAGACTGACAAAAAAAACGAATAACTAATTAACAAACAAACTCACTAATGAACTAACTAACTGACAGACTGACAAACAAATTTACTCTCTATATAACTATCTGACCAACCAACAAATCAACTAACTTACTGAATGACCAACAAACTGACTAACTTACTGACTGACTGACCAAAAAAAAAAAAAAAACGGAATAACTAACCAATTAACAAACAAACTCACTCACTAACTAACTAACTAACTGACCATCAAAGTGAATAACAAAAAACTCACTCAGTGATTGACCAACACACTAATCAACTAACCAACCAACTAATTAACTGACATACATACCAACAAACTGACTATCTAAATGACTAACAAACCAACAAACTGACTGACCAATACACTAACTGCCTAATTAAGTAACTAACTAAGAAATGAACAAACTAATTGACTGACCAATACACTAACTAATTCACTAACTTACTAACTGATTAACTGACATACCAACTAATTAACTGACTAACAAACAATCTAACTAACTGACAGAACAATACACTGACTAACTGACTAACACACTAAGTAACTACCTCACTAACTAATTATCTGACTGACCTATATACTAACTAATTAACTAACTGATCAACTAACAAACTAACTGACTGACCAATAAAAACTAGCTAATAAACCAACTAAATAAATTATTGACTGAGCAACTAACCAGCTGTCCGACTGATAATGTAAAGTGATCAGAGTGGAGCCCAGATGTGTGCCAGCTGTGTATATTATTTACATGTGATTACTGTCAGCGTACAGAGGAAACATGAGGTTGACCAATCAGATCAGTGGATCCATAAAGACCAGTTTTCTCTGGCAGGAACCAAATCAGAAGAAATGCAAAAACAATTCTTTGGTTCTGGTTGACTGAGTTGCTGGAAATAAAACCTCTCTGTTAAAAACTGTTTCCTGAGTTCGTCTTAAAAAAATAAATAAATAAAGTGATCTCAGAACTTCCTGATGCTGCTCAATAATCCAGGTAGAAAAATCTAAAGTTAAATCTGGTCCTCTGGACATTCAAAAAACAAAACAAAGCAAAACAAAAAAAAGAAAAAAATATTGAAATATTTCGTCTCTCATCCTGAGGACTTCCTCAGTCTGAGGTGCTGTATTCAGCTCAGTCTCTTAAATAGCACCGTCTCAGAGTTTGCTGCTGACAACCAGAACCAGCTGATCACATGCTCAAGAAGGACCATCAGCCTAACAATGGATCATTAGCACCCAGCAAACTGGTTGACCCACTCTGAGAAGGTGCTATTTAAGAGACTGAGCTGAATACAGCTCCTCAGACTGAGGAAGTCTCTTGGATGAGAGACGAAACATTTATATAATTTTTTCTTTTGTTTGTTTTGCTTTGCTTTGTTCTTTGAATGTCCAGAGGACCAGATTTAACTTTTTTAGATGACCTGAGCGGGCAGCATGGTGGCGCAGCTGGTAGAGCTGCTGCCTCTCAGCGAGCAGGTCCCTGGTTCAAACCCCGGTCCAGGGGCCTTCTGGGTGGAGTTTGCATGTTCTCTCCGTGCATGCGTGGGTTTTCTCCGGGTACTCCGGTTTCCTCCCACAGACCAAAAACATGCATGTTAGACTGATTGGTAACTCTAAATTGTCCCTAGGTGTGAGTGAGAGAGTGAATGGTTGTTTGTCTCGTTTGTCTCTATGTGTCCCTGTGATGGACTTGCGACCTGTCCAGGGTGTCCCCCGCCCCTCGCACAGTGATTGCTGGACATGGGCACCAGCGACCCCCGTGACCCAAAATGGAATAAACGGGTAAAGAAAATGGATGGATGGATGGATAGATGACCTGAGAACTGTTTGGCGTTTAGGTATTTCATGATTCTGGTAGTTTGCAGGTTTACCTGAACACGACCTCAGAGTCAACAACAGGAAGAAAATGAAGAAATAAACGGAACCTTTCACATTAAAAGAGCACAAAATGTAAGACAACCTCAGAGGTTTGAATGTCAAAAGTCTGCAGTTTGAATGAACCAATCAGAGGCCTGAACACTGATTGACTCCACCCACAGTCTGAATGAA